ATATTTTTAATATATTCTAGTATTTTGAGTTATATTTTCAATAGATAAGAATAGTAAATAATTATTAAGTATTATATAAATAACAAGTATAAAGTTATATAAATTGTATAAAAATATAAAAAGTATAAAAATAAGATAATAATATAAAAATATAGCAAGTAAAAAGGATAAGTACTATGTATTAAAAAGATTATATATTTTGAAAAAGTCTTTATCAAAAAGTGATTATATAAGAGATTACTATTTATAATATAATATTGACTAAGGATCCTAATGATTCTTTTCGATTCTGTATTTGATTTTCAAGTTTATATTAAATTTAATAGGTGGAGTATACACTATTATCATTTTTAATAGTGTTCTGAACCTTATGCAATTCCCTGCGATTCTGTTTGATTCTAATTTTTGGAACTATAATATTGACAGATTGACCTACATTATTGTCAAATTTTAAGTCAAATATATATATTTCTTTTAAGAAAAAATCATTTATTATTATTGCATAATATAGAAAAAACAAAAATAACAGACTCATTATGTTTCACTATAACAGTATTTTTCTAAATATTAACAGAACTTTATATTAATTAAATTATATTTGATAAATTTAAAGATCAAAGTTTTAAATCAAAAATTAATTAATCTATAAATAGGTTTTGATTTAAATCAGTTTAGTTTTTAAAATTTTTAATTCAATAAAATTCAAATTAAATCAATTTATCAAAATATCTAATCACTAGTAAAAAACATTTATAAATATATAAACAAAAAGATAACAGTATATATAATATACAAATTGTTCTTTTATTGGTTAACAGTCTAATATTACAAATTAGTATAATTATTATAATGTTTTTTTTTAATATATTGTTGGGCTGGAAAATAGTGAGTTAGTTACTTCACCAATCCAAAGTTAATATTATTAAAGATAAGTCAAGATATTTAAGATTGATTTGGCCAAGATCTTTTTTTATTAACAAGCTTTTTTCTTCTTTTCTGATACCAGTTCTTCACTTAATAATCCTGGATTATATCCTATAGCAGCAATTATTTTTTCTTAAATAGTAAAAGGTAAGTTATTAATTAAAATATTCTTTTTTAGGCATTTCAATTTTTCTAATTATTTCATTATTATTATTATTATTATTATTGCTTTTTCCTTCTTTTGCTTATACATTGGCATTGCTATTTATATTGTCATATATTGTTTCTACCTTAGGAGAAAGATAAAGACGAAGAACTAGTAGCAGGGAGGCACTTTAGATGGACAGGACCAATGTGATGTACCAAAGTTCCTAGAGGTGTACAAATTAGTACAGTTCTAAGGTGTATGAGGTCAGATGAAAGAGGCAATGGTAATTTGTTTTTCAAAGGTCAAGTTATTTATTCAATAAAATATATGTTAATTGTTAGCAGGGAAATTGCTTCAGTAAGGCCTGGTGACGTGACGTTTGTGTAATGCGCCTAATCGGAGTAATGGAAATGCTTTAGAAATAGACTCATGATGTAATGAAAAGTTTAGATAGTTTATTTTATAGTCTGATAGTTTATAAGTCATAAAGTTATAGTCCTATAGCAGATAGTCATAGTGATATAAATAAGGGAGCGAGGATAAAAAAAAAAGAACACAATAACAACAGAAACTTAACACAAAAAAGTAATAAACATAATTACCATTCTTGTAGAAGCGCGAAACAGTTGTGCGAGTATTAATTACAGTTACTATAAGTGGTGGTGTGATAGATACGCCTAAAAAGGAAGTTGGCAATTAACCCCCCTTCTAGAGTAACATTGCCATGAGAGAATCGTTCTAGTAGTCATTAAAAGAGATAGTGACTTGAACAATTGACGAAGGGTGACAAAGGAAAGAAAAAGGTTAATTATAGGTTCAAGATCAGCTAAGTCAAATTCATGCCTCGAGTAGAGAAAAGGAAAACAACCTACCCCTGACATTATGCGAGTTTGACCTGCCCCAAGCAACAGACTCACCGTTTCACTATCAACAATATATATATATTTGTTAGAATATGTTATATACATGTTTAAAATTTCACGTGAATTGCTTTTGTTTTGAAAAAGTTATTTATATTTATGTTACATAAATAAAATTTTAAAAAGTTTTGCAACACACTGTATATGTTTAAGTTATAATATTTTTATATATGATAATTATAAGTTATAAGAAAAGTAGAGATATAAAAGAAGTATTATATTTGTTAGTACAGTTATCTGTATATGTTAGATTAGAAAAAATGCTTTGGCAAAGATACAAGAATAAAGATAAGTAAATAAAATAGAAAATATTCTAGAGCAACAATAATACAAAAAGCATAGTGCTAAACAATAACAAGAATAGTAATATAAGAATTATTCTAGAATAAACAATATTTTAAGGGTAAATGCCAATAAAAATTGAATAAGAGATAGTGATAATCTTGGACAAAAATCAAGTATAACAATAGATATGTATTAGATTTCAAACAAACTATTACAAAAATTAAAGACGAATATATTTAAAAAATTTTGAAAAAATGAATTACTTTCTATTATTATTGAACTTATAAAGCTTTGTAAAAGCCAACAAATATCTTTTTAAATTAATATTACTATTACAGTATTTTTTATAAATAATCACTACTTAAAAAATAATATCAAATCTTTTAACAAGTTCTTTCATTTTATTAGATAAATGTGAGTATCTTTCTATTCAAAATATTTGGTATAGGCATACTGCTTCTCTATAACTTGAACAGAATTTTCTAGAGTGGCTTATATTGAAGCAAAGTATTTATTATTGGTATATCTTTCTTCAAAGACTTGGTTATCTGCTAGTTTGATACTGTTACTGCCTTGGAAAAGCAAAATGAAAACTGTGCTAATTTAGACTCACAGTAAACAAGATATTTCTATGAAATAAATGAAAATAATAAAAAAAATATCAAAGAAAATCAAAAGAAGATAAAATTCACAATTAAATATATTGAAACTTTCAGTTCCTCTCTTGACAGACTTCAAAATTACTGATAAAAATAATTTTTAATCCTCAATGATTTAATTTATTCAACATATGTTTTGTTTCAAACATTATTAAATAAATTAACATGAACAATTCAAAATTATTGTTTCAGTCAATTTTACAACTCTGCCCTAATATTGGAATCAAAAGATAACAATATAAAAATATTGAATTTCAATAGAAAAACAATAGAAAAATATAAAAGAAAAATATGGGATAAATATAATTTTATTAAAAGAAAATTAAAGAAAATACAAGAATTCGGAATTTTATAATTATGATAGTTGTTTCTTTTTTTTCTTTTCTGCTGGGAAAAATTGCAACCTTTTTATAATGTTTTGGTCAATTGTTAGTCGCCTCTAATCTAATTATTTATGTGTAGTTCATCTATTTACACAAAAGAATTGACTATAGAATTATTTGTTACACTTAGAATGATCATCAAAGAAAATTCTTATCCATAAGATAAAAAGCAAAATTAGCAAAATATTAGTAATACAATCACTTTTGAAGTCTTAACAAAAGTTATTAATCTAGTCTTTTCGCAATTAGTTTATTAGAACTTTACAGAAGCTTTGAAACATAGTTTTTGAGCTACGGCACTCAGTATTTGTTGCGTCATTCAAAACTATATATGCGTTTTGAGAATTCTTGAAAAAAAGAAGAAATTATTCTATAGAAAATATAACTAAAACTAATAAATATTAATAAATGCTGATAATATATGCTAGTATCTATCAAAAGTTAATAAAATTTTCAAAAATTTTAGTATCAATACTTAACACAGTTATGATAACAAGATATGATTGTTTTGAAAATATATCAGTAACAATATTGAATTTTCCAGGGCAATATTTAACTTCAAAATTATTAGCTTGGATAGTTTTTAATTATTTTGATTATTGTCTAGAGAGAATAACCTGGGTCTTGATATATTTCAAAGAGGTATAGTCAGTTATAACTGTGAATTTTTGTTTTTCTAAATACATGCACCAGGTTTTGATAACATATACTATAGCCAGGAGTTATTTTTTATAAATAGGGTAGTTCAATTCAGCTAGAGAAATTTTTTTTAAATCATAAGCAATTGTTTATTCTTTTTATTCTTGATTCTAAATAAGGATCTTAATGATTCAATTCAATTCAATTCTTAATTCTTGATTTTTTAATTTATAGTAAATTTAATATGTGTATTATAATCTATCATTATTTTTAATAATGTTTTGAATCTTATATGAGTCTATATGAGTCTGTTCAATTTCAATTTTCTGAACTATAGTTCTAAATTAATACTGCTTTAATAACAAAGTCAAAAGTATATGTAATGACAACAAAAGATTTAATAAGATTAAATAGCAATAAAACTGGAACTGTGATAAAAGCTTCTTTTAGTTTTTCAAACATTTCTTGTTTTGAAATGTTTCAAAAAAATTCTTGGTTCTTGTGCAGAAGATTGGTCAAGGACTGACAATAGTAAAGAATCCTTGTACAAACTTTTAATAGTAGCTGACTAGTTCTAAAAAGAATTAGGTTTCTGTTATATTTATAGGTATTGGCTAATATTAAATTATAGAATTTTTTTGTGAGTTCATAGTTATGCCTTCTGCAGAGATATAGTATTCAATATACTCAACTTTCAAATATATTAATTTATACTTCTTGATTTTGACATATAGATAATGTTTTCAGAAGATTGTTAGAACAGTTTGCAGGTATTACAGATAATCTTTTTTAATCTTGCTATTGTTATCAGTACACAGTAAGTTTGTTGCTAATCTAAACTAGATCATTGCATAATGATAAATAAGTAGGGAGTTTGTATCACTTGCATATCAAAGGACTTGTCAATAAACTCTCTTCTCTTTTAAATACCAGTTTAATCTATATCACAAGCCATTGTAATCTCTCAAGATTTTATAAGTAGCAAATAATTATTTAAGGCAAATTTATTAATATTATTGGTGCAACTGCAAGTAATACAAGTTTATACAATATTGGAGCCTACTTCTTATTTTAACTAACTAAATATACTTATATTTATATCTGCTGTACACATAAACTGATCTACCGTCACATTTAGCAAATTCCTATTTAAACTATTTAAGCTTCTTAATATAGGATCTAATTAATTGTACCATATTATGTAACTAATGGCAATCCTAGTAATCCATATATTTTTCACTACTAACATTATATACAATGACAAAATTGTTCAAATACTTTTGGAAAATATTATTTATTAATATTATAAAGATAATTGGTACATTGGTCAATTCAAAGAAAAAAATTAAAAACTTGTAATAGTCATATCTGGTTCAAAATATAGTCTTGGGAATGTCTTCTTCTTTAATATGAATTTAATGATATATAAAGTATAAATTGATCTTGTTAAAGTATTTGGCTCTAGCCAATTGATTAATTAATTCTTCTATCTGAAGCAAAAAATACTGGTTTTTAATGGTTATCTTGTTTAAGGTGCAATAGTCAATATAATGTTTTAACATTTCTTTTTTCTTATAAATAAATAACACAAGAAGAGATATTGGATCAAATAAATTCTTTAGCAGTTAATTTAGCCAGTTACTTTTTTAATTTGTTCATTTTTATATAAAAAAAACAATAGGTAGGTCTTGATAATACAGTAGTGGTCAAAAATAATGAGAATTTTAATCATATGGCTTAATTTGTCACTCTTCAAAAATTTTATTATGTAATAAAAAAATTTTTTTTTATTATAAAATAAACATATATTAATATTTGTACAACACATAAGTCACCTATTACACGTATTTTTCTCACAAATTGGGCATATGTCACTTCAATTGAGACTTGTAAATCAGCGAGCAATCGTAAGGCAACTTTGGACAATAAAAGTTCATGAACCAAAAAAAAATAGCCGCAATAACTCATATACTGCTTTCTACTGTCTATCGCTATGTAACCAAACTCAAAAAAACTGGAACTTTGTCTTCTCATGGTCATTCTGGTTGAACAAAAATTATCTCTATAAAGCAACGTCGTTAGCTTGGTCAGATTGAAAAACATCAAGCTAATGTTATCTCTGCCAAACTTGCAGCCTGTCTTAATAAAACTTACTGTGGATTGAAGGTATCAGCACGAACAATACGTTGTGAACTTGTAGCTCTTAATTATAAGGTAGTTCGTCCTCAACATATACCATTATTAATACTTGTGCATATAAAAACTCGTCAAAATTGGGCACTTCGTCATATTAATGACTGATGGAACCAAACAATATTTTCGGACAAGGCAACTTTCCAGATGTTCTGAAATACTAAATAGTTAGATATAAGGCTGGTGTAGGGTCTCCTTCACAAAAAGCAATGGTAAAGCATCCATATAAGATTCATGTATGGACGGCATTTTCGGCACAAGGTTCAATTGGATTTTACATGTTCTCAGGAACCTTAATTGCTACTAGGTATTGCGAAATTCTTACTGAACACCTTCTTTCACATGCTTACAAGGCTGAAACATGATAGCACTTTCAACAAGATAATGCACCAACACACAAAGCCAAATTTAATCAAGAGTTTATGGATTCTCATCATGTTTGTGTTATCAATTGGCCCTTAAACAGCCTGGATTTGAATCCAATTGAGAATTTGTGGGCCATTTTGAAGGGGAGGGTTGAAAAACAGGTAAATGTTTATATCGCGAAAAATAAGCGTATATCCGTAAGTGAGTTTCAACAAATTATCGAAAAAGAATGAAAAAAAAATGATCAAAATTTATACCTTAAATTAGCAAATTCAATGACTTAACGTTTAGATGATGTAATTGAATTAAAGGGTAAAAAAATGAAATATTAAATTTATATATATCTTAAAATTGATGTATTAAGGTTTTTAAATTTATAAAAATTAAATAAATTTTAAGACATAATAGCCAATTTAAAACTCTCATTATTTTTGACCGCTACTGTAGTTCTGTTCCAGGTATCAAATCTATAGCATGATTAATTTTTTCTTTAAGATAGCAGTTGGTTGAGCAATTCAGTAGAAAAGATATTGGAAAATTCTTTTAAGAAGGCAGTTTCTTTAGAAGAAAAACTTGACTTTTCCAGAGTAGCTTCTTCAAAGGTAATACATACAGCAAATATTTTTTCATTAATAGATATTTTGACAAGTTAATATCTGGAAATGAGAAGGGATTAGCACTTGGATTTCTTTAAAGTCTAAAAGATACTAACAAAAACTTTAATGTTGCATAATTCATTATTGAGAGAAAAAGTATTGATTCTTCAATCAATATGAAGTTGGCTTAATATAATTATAGCTTTTTCAAAATAGTATTATATCTTTGCAACTTCAGGACTTGGGCAGAAAATTTAGAGGCACAATACTTTTCATTTCTAGAATCTTGACTTTTATTTTAGTAGAAACTTCTTTTCTTTATCTATTGTTAGGCTGGAAAATGGCAAGTCAGTTGCTTCACTAGTTCAAAGATAGGGTTATTAAAGATATGTTGAGGTGTGTAAGATTGATTTAGCTGGGGCTTTCATTATTAACAAGCTTTTCTCTCTTCTTTCTCGACACCAGCTCTTCTCTTGATAATCCTGGACTATGTCCTATAGTGGTGATTATTCTTTTCTAGATGGTGTGTACTTAAAAAGATAAGTTGTTAATTACAATATTCCTTTTTTGATGCTTCAATTTTACTAATTGCTGTGTTTATTAATTGCTCTATTGTTTTATCTCTATTTCTCTATACACTATAAGAGATGTAGGTTCTTTTTCAAAGTTATATCCTAGTATATATGTATAATAAAGAACTGATGTTTATCAAAAAAAAAAAATAATAATAATAAATATGATCTATATATATAAAGTACTTGGATGATTTGAAGTGTGGCCAAAAAAATAAATCATGATACCTTCTAGTGTGGCCAAATATATAAATTTAACCAAAAAATATATATATATTTGATATAAAGTATAGTGGAAAGGCTTAAAAACTAAAAATAAATCAATATAAATATGACTTAACCAAAAAGTGATCCAGAAGTTCCATTTTTTTTCTACTTATGTTTAGAGAAGAACCTAGAGAAAATGTTAAAATCTGGCTGTATCAAACAAGGAATATCTTGTATATCCAAAACATTAAGGAAAAAGGAACTATGCCACTATTGAATTTGAAGTTACTGCCTTCTATTGGTTTGTTAATAAAATCAAGAATGTCATCAGTACTGCTTTCAGGCTGAATTAAATTTAAGAAAAAACTTAAAGTTGCTTTTCAACCTTACACTATCAATAACATTTGCATTATTAATAACTTAAAATCCTGTCTCAAACAAAAACTATATAGGAATATGCCTTACAATTTAAAAACTTGGTAAGCCAAATTGATGATATGTATTAGTTGAATCATGTTGCTTATTTTATAGAAGAATTGAAACCAGTAACAAAAATGAAAGTGAATTACAAGTTTCCTAAAACTCTTGATAATTCCATTCATATTACAATTTGTTATGACACTGTCATGTTTGAACTATGCCATCCAGTAATAAAAAACTATTTCTCAAAAACAAATTCATTATAAAAAAGTTACTAAAGGCCTGTATCAATGGACTTAGACCAAATAGAAACACAATACAAGCCTTTTACTTTGAACCAAAAAAGAAGATTAAGTATTACAATTGCAATAATATAAGTCACTTTGCAAAGAAATACAAGAAGATAACCACGAAGATCAAAGTAACTTTTATTAAAAAACAATTTATTTTATCAAATATTGAGTTTATCCATATTAAGAAAAATCAAGAATAGTTGTTTTGGTTCAATAGTAAGATTAATTAATATCATATATGAATTCTATTGAATTCCAATGCTCCAAAAATAATGTAAACAAAAAATTTGTTAAAAGAAACCATATATCAAATAAGTCAATTCAACTATTTTTCATGGAACTTGTTAACAGTATTAGCTCTATAAAAGTTATATAGTATATTTGTGTACCATGACTATTGCATTGTGTACCCTGGAAATGTGAAGTAGCATTAATAATTAACATAGAAAATGTAGTTATCAAAGCTTACATAACTTATCCATAGTTTGTTTTAGCTCCGATAGTCTATTTTCCTTTAATTGTTTTTAGTAGTAGCAA